AGATAAGTACTCACATGCATTATCACTACAAAAAGTACGAATAGCAATACCAAATCTCCAAGAGCTTGGTTTGGTAAATTTAGCAGTGTTGTTCAACAATTTGGCATGACTCAGAGTGCAGCTGATCATTCTCTCTTTTATCGTTATTCTGCTTCTGAATCTATTTATCTGGTGGTATATGTGGATGATATTGTCATCACAGACAGTGATCAGCATGAGATCACTCGATTGAAACAACACTTATGTCATCATTTTCAGACTAAGGATCTTGGGAAACTTCGATACTTCTTAGGAATCGAGGTGGCCCAATCTAAAGCTGGTGTCGTGATATCTCAGAGGAAATATGCACTGGATATTCTTGAAGAAACTGCTCTGTTAAATTCAAAGTCTGTTGATACTCCTATGGATCCAAGTATCAAGCTTCTACCAAATCAAGGGAGCCCTTTTCAGATCCTGAGCAGTATAGAAGATTGGTTGGAAAATTGAACTACCCCACAGTCACTCGGCCTGATATTTCCTTTGCGGTTAGTGTTGTCAGTCAATTTCTCAATTCTCCATGTCAAGAACATTGGAATGCAGTCATTCGTATTCTTAAGTATATCAAGGCATCTCCAGGGAAAGGCCTTGAATATGAAGATAAAGGTCATGATAAAGTGGTCGGCTATTGTGATGCTGATTGGGCTGGTTGTCCAACTGATAGGAGATCTACTTCTGGGTATTGTGTCTTTGTTGCAGGCAACTTGATTTCCTGGAAAAGTAAGAAACAAAGCGTAGTTGCCAGATCAAGTGCTGAAGCAGAATACCGCTCCATGGCGACTACTACTTGCGAGCTCATCTGGCTTAAACAGCTTCTCAGAGAACTTAAGTTTGGAGACACTGGACATGCAACTCTCATTTGTGATAATCAAGCAGCTCTACACATTTCATCAAATCCAGTGTTTCATGAAAGAACCAAGCATATAGAAATAGATTGCCACTTTGTTCGAGAAAAGGTTCTTGCTGGTGAAATTAAAACTAGCTTTGTACCCTCTAATGAGCAATTAGCAGATGTGTTTACAAAATCTTTAAGGGGCCCTCGAATAGAGTTTATATGTAACAAGCTTGGTGCATATGACCTATACGCTCCAGCTTAAGGGGGAGTGTTACAAATATTTTGTAGTTAGGGTTTTCTTATTTTGTAATTAGGGTTTCCTTATTTTGTATTAGGTCAGATTACATTAGGTTTGGGCTTAGCCCATTAGTCTGTTTATATATTGTACAGCCTTCATCAGTCAATACACACAGAAATATTTCAAATGTTCCTCTCTTTTCTCTTGTTATTTAACAGTATGTATAAATATATATATATATATATATATATATATATATATATATATATATCATTATACCATTAACAATAAATACCTTTTCATTATAAGGCTTAAAAAATGATGCACAAACAACGTACATGTAAGTCTTTTCAAATGAAAGCTTGAAAATGATGCATACAATAAATACCTTTTCATTATAAGGCTTAAAAATTAATGCACAATCGACGCACATGTAAGCCTTTTCAAATGCAAGCTTGTAAATGACGCACACAATAAATACCTTTTCATTATAAGGCGTTAAAAATTAATGCACAATCGACGCACATGTAAGCCTTTTCAAATGAAAGCTTGAAAATGATGCATAATACCAAAAAAAAAATTATATTTAGCTTTTAACAAAGAATATCAAATATAAGGAAAACCCTAAAACCAAAGACCTTAAACATTTGATTTCTTTTAAACTGTAAGTCCAAAATTTTCTAAGAGAATTCATTGTTTATTCAAAAAATTCAAACAACAAAACCTCATCGATTATAAAGCCAAATTTTTTCCAAACATTCCATATATTCACAGATTCAGAATTTAAATAATAAACCCTTATTAAACTGCGAATCCTAGTTTTTCTAAAAAATGTAGCTTTTGTTCCAAAACCAAAAAATTACCGTCAGGGAACAAAAATAACACTACATAGCTAATACAAAATACATAAGATGGAACCCACGTTCAAAAAATAATAAACTTTATGCCAAAAGACAATAAAACAAAACTTTTCATGATTCATCATATATAAAAATCACAAAACTTAATTCCCTCATAATTCAATATGACAATGGCTCTTATACCAATTGTTGGAATTTTTAATTCCTCTAAACCTTTTGGTGATAACTATCACCTACAAGCCAAGCTCCATCATACCAAATCATAAAGAAATAAGAGCATAAAGGTGGAGGCATACCTGTCTCCATTGCAGCGGAATAACTTTGATCTTATCTCTTAGAGTTTGTAGTCTTCCTCAGTCAAATCTCCCTAAAATCGAATTCCTTAGTGTGCCGTCTCTCTCTTGATGGGGAAGAGAAACTAGGGTTGTCATTTGACATCTTGGGGACCATAACCCTTATAGTATTTTTATCTTTATTGTTGGGCCAATAAGCTCCCATTATACCTAGTTGGCCCAACACCGGTATCCACTCATTCAGCCCATACTCACTTAGGAATCTATTTGGAAATATTTAACTTATCACTTTAATTTACCCAATTTATATAAATAGCACAATATAATTATTAATATAATATGTGACCCACAATAATTATTAGAAAATATAATTTCCTAACATTTTCAAGAATCTTCAAACTGGAAAGTTCAAAATAGTAAGATAGTTCCCGATGGTATAAAGCTCGTTGCAGTTTCATTGACTAACAGATCAATTAAATCAAGGAACTCACCATAATAGTGGTTTAGAGGCCACTAGCTTTTGCTTTATTGGGCTTAACCATTTCATTGTGGGATAACTAAATGGAAACCTAACCGCACACATTTTGTTCCAGACCTTTAATTCTTTAAACATGCCATGTCGTCAAGTGATTAAGATACTGTTAATTTTTATAGCCTTCCCGTTAATCTCACCATCATTCAACTGGTTGGAGAATCTATTAGCATAATTGCATCAAGGTGCTGCCTACTAGTCCAACATGACATATGTAAGGCATAGACGAAGATGGAGAGGACAAAGAACTATTAGCTGAATTAAGAACACATCAACAATTCAAAAAAATATATATATATTAAAAATTGTTTCTACTATTGTAGTTTATTTGGAAGAGATCTAAGAGTGAAAAATAACGTTTAAATTTTCTTGTAATTGAATGATAGAAGGGAGTATGTAGACAAAACCCGTCAAGTCATAAACATGTTTGTAGGAGGGATAGGTTATGTAGTCCTTTCTATCTGACTGATCAGCCTAAATTTACACCAAGTGTTCCATTTTATTGTGTGGACCACAGATGAAGCATGCAGCTTTAAGTGATGCTGGAGAGACCCCCCCAAAAACAAGCAAAGCATCTTAAACGTGTAGTGGTAATAGGCAAGCTTTGGACTACTTAAGAAGCAAGCTGTCCATAAAAGCATATCCTGCTACTATACTTGAAACATCAGAACCACTAGAGTGGAATTCGGAAAGGTTCCAAACTAAGCACGGTTTTCCATCTTTCCCCAAGTATTCAACCAGGTCCCCCCTTTAGCATGCATATTAAAGCTGAGCCATAAAGCTACCAGCAAGCCACTTACATTTACTAACTAGCTAGTATATATATTAATTAGGTTTATTAAGTACTCAACCATCTTAGAATTTAAATACATGTAGTCAACAAGTTCAACCATGATATATTGTTTAGGTGTGAACTGACATAACACAGATTCTATGGATTCTGATAGATTCTTTCCTCATGTCTCTTAAAACCCCATTGATGGTAGCAGTTGGAGAGCTGCAAAAAAAAAAAAAATAAAAAAAAAAAAAAGGTTGGGTCCCTATTATATTAATACATCTATGTGCAGATAGATTGCTTGTTAACTTAGAAAGGGAGTGTTGGACCTGTTGGTCAAAACAATGGGAAATATTACTTTCAAAGTGAAAAACAGAGAGAGAAGGAAAAGGCAAGGGTCAAAGCAAGCTTGGAATCAGTCAAACTTGAATTGTTTCTCAAAAATGAATTTAGCCCACATCTGGACTTGAGTCTGCCAAGTTTTCATCCCGAACATAGAAGAACACATAAACAATACTTCTTAAATTTCATAGAACTAGCATGCAATGAAATAAAACAAACATTAATTAGAACAGTCTCTTTCCTCGCCCACACCCAGGTCATGATGAAAATCTAAACGATTGATACAAACAAACATCTGCTTCTGCTCAACCTTCTCCATAGTGAATTGAATATAACAAGTTATGGAAGTGTACTGAGCCAAAAAAATTGTAAAATACAATCTACGCCATCAAATACTTAATGCCCTATGCAGTCTAAGGGATTACAAACACCTGGCAACTAATTAACCAACATTTATCTAAAATTATATATTTGCTTAATTCATTTGTTTATATAAATTAAAATAGGTGGAATACTATATATCATATGATAGAAAAAGGGAAATTAACAATAATGCGAATAAGGGAGGGAACAAAACAAATAAATTCTGAAAAATTGAAAATGTGATGGAGATGCTCAAATCAGCCACTAGCTAGGACAAAGATTTCTTCTCACTTTTTCAGTGCGAGGGAGGAGCCAAAAGGGTTTGCCGTTAGCTGAAGAAGTAAAAGACCCCGAGACAAGCAAAGACGTATAGAAAGACATGAAAAACGGAAAATGCAGGTGAGAACGCATTGATGCTACCGAGAAAGTTCCTTCTTCCAACAACTGTCTCAGCGTTAAGTATCAGAATAGACAAACAAACTAGAGGTCATCTATTTTAAGCTTCGCAGTCATGACCTTGATCTTCGAACCAAATCGTCATCTCTCTAGCTTATATCATATACGCAAAAAAAAAAAAAGGTTCCAAATGCATCCACACCCTCCATCGCCATCGTTATATCAGCCACCACAACCAATATTCAAACTCTTTACAGCAAAAAATACTAATACTAGAACATGCACGATGAAATTAAAAAAAACTGATAATCAAGGACTGATTTTGGTACTGAAATGAAGTGAAATTAGCTAGTTCATCAACAATAATACAGGCTATAATTAATTGGAGTAGAACCATGTCTACATGCTCAAACACTAACACAACCAGAAATATAGCCCCACCTTTCCCCAAAATGAGAAGGAAAAGAAGAATAAAAAGAAAAAGAAACCCTAAGAATTTTGCTGAGCTAGCAGCAGGCTTCTCAGACAGTCAGCAACTCAATTTCCCACCTTCCAACTTCAACTTCAACCTCATAATACTTAACCAATATACACTGAGAAAATATTGAAGGATTGATGAAAAGAGCATATCCTTTAACCCACGATGAAGAGCAGCACTTAGCAATATGGTACATACACAGAACGAGAGAGAGAGAGAGAGAGAGGAACACCCGAGAGGGAAAAAAAAATTCTCAAATTTTTTCTAGGGCTTCTTACCAAGAGTGTGTTTGTTGTTATGCATCCAAACCTTGAGAACATGACGCTTGACACCAGTGTCGTTGCAGAACTCTTGAATCACAGCGTCGTCGTGCTTCTGAATCCTCCAACCCAATCTCTCAGCTAACTCAAGCATCTTGTCCTTCTGTTCCTGCGAGAACTTGGTTCTGTACCTCTTCTTCGACCCTAATCCTCCTGCACTCGGGTTCGAAACGTCCTCCTGATCCTCCCTCGTGCTCTGGGTCCCACATCCTCCGCCACCTCCTGCCCCGGAGGTCGACGGCAGCGCCAGCGTCCCCGCACCCCTCTGCTGCCCCGCCACGTGCAAGTACCCACCCGGCGTCCGATAATACGCCCCGAATTGCGGCGGAGGCGGCTGGTGATGGTGGTGGTGGTGGGTCAACAAATACGGGTCTCCGGCGAAGGTGGCTGTTTCTGTCTCTTTGCGGTGGAAATTGCGGTGGCAGTTGCAGGCGGCGCATTTGAGAGATTCGAGGGTGCCTTCGGTTCCCGCCGCCATGAACTCTCCGCAACCGTCGAGGGCGTGGCCACCGATTCCGACGGCGTGGTTCTTGAGGCACTCCCTGTACCTTGCCTTGGCGTTGTTATTCCTCAAGGGCTGAGCCACCATCATAGCTTCAGCGCCACCTGGCATCTTCACCCGGGACGGGTTGGACAGCGAGTCGTAACTCGCTGCCGCCATACACAGCTCTTCCTCTTGCTCCTCTTCATGATCTTCGAATTCCATTTCTTCTTCCCTGAGCGATAAAAAAATGGCCAAATTCTGATGGGTATATAATAATGTTATTTGTATCGATAAATTGAGCTGAAGAAACAAGAAAACGAACAAGGGACTCTCCCTCTCACTATCACACTCTTACACACACACACTCTCTCTCTATTTGTTCTGTCTTCGAGCTTTCTTTGTCCAAAGCCCACTCATTCATTCATATACTTTTGTGGTTCTTTGTTTTCTGAAGCCTCAGCAATCAGCATATAGTATACCTCTCTCTCTCTCTCTTCCACCGGATATATCCGGTCACTCGGTAATTTTAGATTTTCACCCACGACAGGTGAATACTAAAATTTAACCGTGAAAAGTTTTCACTTTCAGTACAGTAGTACTCTGACCTGGTAGCAGCAGGAGGAGGGTGAGGCGAGGACGAACCAAAAAAAACCAGAAACAAATATTAATTTATTATTTAAAAATAAAAGTAATATTAATATATAAATATTATTATTATGTCTATTACATGGCCGATCATTCTTCTCCTTGGGTTTTTTAGTTCATAAACCATTTCTTAAAATTATTTTGTTTGATAAAATACAAAACCTGTTTTACAATGTGTATATATTTTATAGGGTTTTATATTTCTCATATTATAGAAAATAAAAATTATTTTTTATGGGATCTATATTTTCTTTCTTTCTCTTCTACTCCCATAATTTTACATGGTCTCACATATTTTTATGTGTGTAGGAAATAATTTTATTTTATACAATATGAGAAACATCAAACCCATATTTTTAGGGACTTTGTTATGTAAAAAATATAAATACTAACATCTTTAAAAAAATTGAATAAATTAATATAAAAAATAATAACCCAAATAATGAGGGAAGGAAAAGAAAAAAAAAATTGCCACACCTTCCCCCAAAACACCAATGACAAACATCGACATTGAAACCCTATAGGGGCATTTGGTATGTAGATGAATTTTAGATTCTTGAAAAACTGACATTAGAAATTCTATTTATCCATGTTTGATATAAGGATTGTGAATTTTTTTTCGAAAAAATCAGATTCCCATGATTGATTTTTGTGAAGCATTTTCCCTACGAAAAATATCACTGGGTGGGTAATATTCTTAGATTCCCACTAATAGGAAAAAATTTCTTGGACAAAAATAATGTTTTTTCAAATACCCCAAAATCCCTTCTCATCCCCACGCTGCTAGCTATGAAGCACCGACACTTCAAAAATCCTGACGTGTCGTGTCTGACACTTCCCGACACTCTCGGACACTCCGACACTTTCCGACACTCCAACACGCTTTATAAAAATTCAAAAAAGGTTCAAAAGTTGTGTTGCGTTGAGTTTTTAGTTCCAACTATTAGATTCATTGGATTGCGATTACCATTTTATTGAGTTTAATATAAGTATTTGGGATATCTTATGTTTTTTTACAAAATTTATGAATATTATAAGTTTAGATTCATTTTTTTGTTAAATTATTGATTATTCAATATAATATACACTACATAAATTAAAAATATTATTTAATATCAAAACGTGTCCTAACGTGTCGAAATCTAACAGTTTTTAGAATTAACGTGTCGGAGTGTCATGTCGTATCGTGTCACGTGTCCCGTGTCGGTATCGGTGCTACATAGGCTGCTAGCATCGAACTATGCCCCCTCCCACTTATCTTCTTATTCGCCTTGTACCCATCTTCCAAAACCTCAACCAACCACCTTCTCCACCAGTGAACTACCAACGAGCACCACCAAAACACCATCACCGCCCATCCTTCTTCTCTTTTCACTAAGCCAAATCCCTCCCCTCTGACCTACAACCTCCACCGACCCACCAACATCACAAAACCCAACACGATTATCGGCGACTACAAACCCTGGTACACCATCGTCGAGTCACCAGCCATCTCTCTCTCTCTTTTGGCTCAATGTCTATTGAAAACAAGTTTCTGTATATTGATTTTGAATAATTTACATGAGTGAGTATTTATACTAGAAAGAATCGCTAAGAATGACTAAGTGATGACTAAGCGATGACTAATCAATCCTAATCACAATCAATTCTAATCAATCAGAATCAATCCTAATCAATCATAATCAATCCTAATTAATAGAAAATAAAAACGAAAACATGTTTGGATTCTGATTTTCTACACTCCCCCTCAAGTTGGGAGGTAAATATTGATCATTCTCAACTTGCCAATCAAGTTTTCGAATGCTGGACGGTGTAGGCCCTTGGTAAGGATATCTGCCGTTTGCTCTTTGGTTGGAACATATATCAAACGCACACTTCCATCATCTAATTTTTCTTTGATGAAGTGACGATCAACTTCCACGTGCTTTGTTCGATCATGATGCACAGGATTTTGAGCAATGCTAACAGCTGCCTTGTTGTCACGATATAGTTTTATTGGTAGGGAATATGAAATCTTCAACTCTTGAAGAAGTCTTCTCATCTAGATTCCTTCACAAACTCCATGAGATAAAGCTCGAAATTCTGCTTCAGCACTACTTCTTGCAACCACTGTTTGATTTTTGCTTCTCCAAGTAACAAGATTTCCCCACACATAGGTGCAATAACCTGAGGTAGATCTCATGTCTACTGATGAGCCTGCCCAATCTGCATCAGTGTAGATTTCAATTGTCCTTTTATACCCCTTTTTAAAGAATAATCCTCTTCCTGGAGTATTCTTGAGGTATCTAAGCACCCTATAGACTGCACTAAGATGCTTCTCCTTGGGTGAGTGCATGAATTGACTAATCATACTCACCGCAAAGGCAATGTCAGGACGCGTATGAGAAAAGTAGATTAGTTTACCAACCAATCGCTGATATTGTTCTTTATCCACCTCATTCTCATCTTCAATACCTAACTTGGTATTAGGTTCCACAGGTATCTCAGCAGGTTTACACCCTAACATTCCTGTTTCCAACAAAAGATCTAGAACATATTTCTTTTGTGTTAGAGTGATGCCTGTTTTGCTCCTAGCAACTTCCATACCAAAGAAATATTTGAGAGTGCCAAGGTCTTTGAGTTCAAATTGAGCTGCTAGAAATTTCTTCAAGGTGTTCAATTCCTCAATATCATCACCTGTAAGAATTATATCATCTACGTATACAATAAGAATAGCAATTTTACCATCCTTAGAGTGTTTGTGGAAGAGAGTATGATCAGTCTGTGCTTGAATGAAGCCTTTTCTTTTGACTGCTTGTGTGAATTTGTCGAACCATTCTCTGGGAGACTGTTTCAATCCATATAGAGACTTTTTTAGTTTACACACTGATCCATTTCCCTTTTCAAAACCAGGTGGAGGATCCATATAGACTTCTTCATGTAAGTCACCATTTAGGAATGCATTCTTCACATCTAACTGTTGCAGAGGCCAATCTAGATTGGCAGCAAGAGATAAGAGAACTCAGATGGTATTGACTTTAGCAACCAGAGCAAAAGTCTCATGATAATCTATCCCATGAGTCTGAGTGAAACCCTTTGCAACCAATCTTGCCTTGTATCTGTTGATGCTATTATCTACATTGAATTTTATTGTAAACACCCATTTGCATCCTACTGTCTGTTTTTCTTTGGGTAGGGTTACTATCTCCCAAGTTCCATTTCTTTCTAAAGCATTCATTTCTTCAAAGACAGCATCCCTCCATTTTTGATCATTGAGAGCCTCATGTATATTTCTCGGTATCTTTGTACTATCCAACATAGTATTGAAAGCACGAAACCCTGGGGACAACTTTCCATATGAAATATGATTAGAAATAGGATGAGTAGTACAAGATCGAGTACCTTTTCTGAGAGCAATGGGAAAGTGTAGATCATTTTCACCATGACACTCAAGTATTGGGGTGCTGGAACTAGAACATGGTTCAGAATCCTGGCAGTGTAGAGGCTCTGGGTTATTCACACTATGAGGAGGTTTTCGCCTGCTATAAACTTGTCCCCATTTTGAGGAGGCTCCTGATGGTGAGGATTCTGTAGCTCCCCCTGTTTCCAAAAGTAGAGGTAATACCGTGGCATCAGTAGGTTTCCATGACTGATCTTCATCTACTCCTATCTCCCCCTGAAGAGAAGTCGAGGGGAAGAAAGGGTCATTTTCAGAAAAAGTGACATCCATAGAGACAAAGACCTTACGAAGAGAGGGTGAATAACATTTATAGCCACGTTGAGTAGGAGAATAACCAATAAAGACACACTGGAGAGACTTAGAATCAAGCTTAGACCGTTGATGGGAGGGAATATGGACAAATACAACGCAACCAAATAACTTGAGAGGTAAGGAGGATACACCTCGGAAGGAAGGGAAGATACGAACAAGACTAGAAAGAGGAGACTGAAATTTCAGAATGCGAGATGGCATTCGATTTATCAGATACGAGGCAATGAGAACTGCCTCTCCCCAAAGATATTTAGGAACACTCGTGGTAAACATAAGAGCCCGAGCAACTTCAAGGAGATGTCGATTTTTTCTTTCCGCAACTCCGTTTTATTGGGGTGTGTCAGGACACGAGCTTTGGTGAAGGATGCCATGTTGGGAAAGATATTCTCCAAGAATAGAGTTAAAATACTCTTTGCCATTATCTGTACGAAGAATTTGTATAGCAACTTGGAATTGGGTTTGAACCATGGCATGAAATTTTTTAAACACGGATGCAGCATCGGACTTATCCTTTAGAAGATACACCCAACAGACTCGAGAATGGTCATCAATGAAGGTAATGAACCATCGAGTACCTGAAATATTTTTAACACGGGCTGGACCCCATATATCACTATGAATTAAGGAAAATGGAAAAGAGTCATGGTGAACTTTAGAAGGATAATGAGCACAAGTATGCTTGGCAAGTTGACAAATATCACAAGAAAACAAACTTAGACTTTTATTAATAAATAAGTTTGGCAACAACATCAACTTAAACTTTAAAAATTTGGATGGCCTAGCCTACGATGCCACAGCATAACATCATTACATGAATCAAAAGGAAACATAGAGTTTTTTTCTACGAAAACAGCTTCACGAGTCACATCCTCCTCAAAGTAGTAAAGTCCACCATCCTCTCTAGCACTGCCAATCATCCTCTCTGATTCCTGTTCCTGAAAAACACAACCATGTGGAAAGAATTTAGCAAAGCAATGCAACTCAGAGGTGAGCTTGCTAATAGAAATGAGATTACAA